GTGTGGTGAAGGGTATAAAAATAAAGGCTAGATATCTAGTCCCGGTCCTCAATTATCTAATGATCCTTAAGGAATATTCTGAAACCCCTATAGATCTTCAATAATCTCCAAAAACTTAAAGCCTTTAACAAGCCTTAAAGCTGATTTACCTAAAATATCCATTGTTTAAAAAATTGTTTTACTTAATTTGAACTCACTATTAGATATTCGATATATAAACCCTACATAAACGGAATGGGATGCACATATCAGATTTTAAAACTATGGAGACAGAGTTCAATTCAATGCTCTTTAACCCTTCATCACGTCCGTGCATTGTTCTGCTTTTATTTATTATGGATGACATCGGCGAATTAAGCCACTGACTAGTGTCAAGGACCATTATTAATCCATTAGAAAGGCATATTAATTTTATATAGCGAATTTTCAAACCTTTATGTCCATCTACAAAAATCATGACCTACACTTTCAATAGCCAAGGTAGACTTTAACACTTATTATAAAAATGTTGGACCCGATGTGATATTAGCTACTCAAATTATAGGTGGGCTGACTTCTTCGATAGGACAATTTATTGTTCAACAACATTTTAAAATAACTTCGAAAATCAAAATATATTGTTGTATATGTGCTAGGGAGTAGAATCTCACCAATTAAAGCGTGAATTAATTTTTTTGGCAATTTAATTCCATATTCAATTTTGTAACAAACCATATATGTAGTACCACTTAATACATTTGTTCAACACTACATACCAACTCTGACCGCAACTAAAATCTAGCTCTATACTAAATTAGATAAAATGTATTACCGATAGGTTCGTTCAAATCCAAATTTTATCAAATTTAGCACCATTAATATAAATTACCATACCAATCTACCTCAACAATTCAATAGAAATCCTATTTTCAAATATCAGGATTACAGTTAACCTAAATCGAAATTGTACAGTGATCCTAACTCCAAATTTTAGGATTCCAGGGCTATCGGTTCAATCAAATCTAAACTGTACCAAATTTTAGTACACATATGTACGAATTTCCAAAACTTCATTCACACCCACATACACCCCCACAGTGATCCTAAACACAAATTTCATCATTCCAACTTTATTGGTTTATCCAAAATCTAAATTGTACCAAATATCGTACGACTTAGCACATTTCGTACATAAAATTAAAAAAAATCCAAAACTACGTACATATCCTACAAATATTCGTTCCCCCAAATTTAAATTGTACCAAATTTAGTTCTTTTCGTATACACACTTCCAAAATCACTTCCTTATATCGACCCTTCTTAGCATTCCAACGAGTGACCCTCACTCCAAATTTCAAAATTCTAGCTTTGGGCGTTGATGAATCGTTAAGTTAGTCGATCACTTTACTATTTAATGAACATAGAATCTGAATCCATTATTTTTTATATATACCTCACAAAGGTTTAATATTGTGATTAGGATTTAATTTACATAAATTACGGAATATATCATGTTCATGTGAAGCTAGGGTTTGTAAATGGTACCTCATTTTAAATGCTCCCCGATTAGAAGGATAGACGAGTTTTTTATATGGGTTGTATAACATTAATCTACGGATTAGACGTGGATATTGTACTAAACTGTTTGTTGGTATCGGGTATGCACATTCGATTATTGACGATTATGAATCAATCTTTAATCGGAGCAAATTTCTTTATCTTCGCCATACACTGTCCTATATATATATATATATATATAGCCTCAAGAGTTAGTAAGGCCGCGAAATATTGGTCCTAAGGGATGAAATGAATCAAAAACTTTATTTTTGTGAGTTTTTCTTTTCGCTCTAGAGGCAACACTTCACGAAAATGTTCACAGATACAGAGATATTACTGAGGAAAAAGCATGGATCTATTCATGTTTATCGGTCATTATTAAGCGGGTCAAAACGGGCCCTGACTATGATGTGGAAATTTGAATTCTATGGCGTAGGACATAAACCCGAAAAATTGGTAGTATATCCAAGAGGACTGGATGACCTGTATGTAATCGGATGTGAGAGTTACACTGAAATATTTACACGGGTCTACGTGTATTACACTGTGAAAGGAATCTGGAAAACGAATATGAAGTCAAGTCAATCAAGACCTTTGTGTATAAAGTGAAAAAAATGCATATTATGGTATAAATGTTCACCCCGGGAAGTAAGTAAGAGGTGCTATTGACCTCTAATCGGGCAAAAGGATACAAATATCACAAAATATTGCCTAATCTCGGAATATAGATTGGCACAAAATTATAGTTCGGTGATAGTTTTGTATGGTATCATATGATCGGCTCCGCTCACTGGTACAAAGTTGCACCACTACAAATTATAAATACAGGTCCAATTTTTCTGGTATACCCCATATAAGGGTAAACCCCAATCTTCGGTATTTTGGGGTTCTTGCGTGCGTTTTCAACCAAATTCTTTATAATTTTTTATACCCTTCACCACACTGTGGTACAGGGTTTTATGCCTTTGTGCATATGTTTGTAACAGGCAAAAGGAAACGAGATAGACCCATGGTTCCATTTGAGAATATGCATAGAATCACTTTCTGAGTCGATTTATGCATGTCCGTCTGTCTGGCCATGTAAAATTGTAAACAAAGTGCAGGTCGCATATATTATCCGAATGAGATGAAATTTGCCACAGTTCATTTATTTGGCCCAGGGACGAACCCTATTGAAATTGGGAAAAATCGGTTTAGATTTAGATATAGCTCCCAAATATATATTTTCGTCCGATTTTTAGCAAATGGTGTACAAAAGAGTCAACTTTAAGCGGATTGGCACGAAATTTTGTACAATGCACTGAAGTTAGGATAGACTAATGTGTACCAAGTTTTATTGAAATCGGTTTAGATTTAGATATAGCTCTCATATATATATGATCGCCCTATTTTTGGCAAATGGTGCACCATAAAAGTCAAATTTAGGTCGATTGGCACGAAATTTTGCACAACGTACTGAAGTTAGGTCAGACTAACGTGTGCAAAGTTTTATTGAAATCGGTTCAGATTTAGATATAGCTCCCATATATATGATCGCCCTATTTTTGGCAAATGGTGCACCATAAAAGTCAAATTTAGGTCGATTGGCACGAAATTTTGCACAACGTACTGAAGTTAGGATAGACTAACGTGTGCCAAGTTTTATTGAAATCGGTTCAGATTTAGATATAGCTCCCATATATATGATCGCCCTATTTTTGGCAAATGGTGCTCCAAAGAGTCAAATTTAAGCCGATTGGCACGAAATTTTGCACAACGTACTGAAGTTAAAATAGACTAACGTGTTGCCAAGTTTTATTGAAATCGGTTCAGATTTAGATATAGCTCCCATATATATGTTCGTCCGATTTTTCGCAAATGGTGCACCAAAGATTTTAAGTGTGCTCGATTGGCACAACATTACACGCAACGTATCGAATGAGTCTGAGTCTTAACCGTTATATGGGGGCTACCCGAAAAAAGATATAAGATATTGGACCGATATTAATAATTTTTAGTGGATACATTTGGTACGTAGATCGATAAAGCCCTGCAGACAAGAGACAACTTTAAGGAAAATTTTGGCGATCTATCTAAATTCATTTAGAGTGATTACAACAGAAAGACGGACCAGCATAAATCGTCATAGAATTTTAGGTTGAACAAGAATATATAATTAATACAAATATACCCGGTTATTGATCGTTGGGTTAAGTCGGTTCACATATAGACACAGATCACATATTAACCTTAGTAGAATTTCATGTCAATGATCCTTCAAAAATTCAAGGTCTGTAAGGATGTATTTCTTGAATATAGCCAAAGTGGTAAAGTGTATAATATAGTCGTAAACTTATACCTAGGTATTAAATAGTCCGACCTGTTCAATTAATTCGTTCTTATACTGTCTAAACTACAATTTTTAGATTACAACCAGTTTTTGTATCATGTACCAAAATAATTTAAACCCAAATTTAAATATAATAAATTAAATTAATAAATATAAATAATTTGTGCTAAAAATATAAATAATCACAGTATAACTTCTTATTACATTTCAATGTTCATAAAATATTTTTTAAATATTTCTATATTTTGACATATAACGAAAATAGAACATATATATTTTTTACAACAAAAAATATTTTTATGAAATATTTAACGTACCAAAGATGAAATAATTTTGAGAAAAAACAACACAAAGTGAAACAAAACACTACTACTACTCAACGAAATACTAATGATGTATATAATGAACAATATTATTTAATTATTTTGTTTTTTTTTCTACTTTTTTCTTTCCTGTTTTCTTTATGGATTCTACTCTCTCCATCTTTCTGTAACTAACTGCGAAATACTGTAATCACAAACATTTTGCAAACTTCCCAAAAATATAATAAAAAATATACACCTTTGGAAAAAATTCTGTTGAAACACACACACCCAAAAAAAACTTCAACCAACAACAATTACCTGGCATATACAATTTACACCTTCTTGCTAAAAACCCGTATCACGCATTTAAATTGTTATAAAAAAATTACATGCCCCCTTCTTCCTTTGTAAATCACTCTCAAAAACTATATTTAAAAAAATTTCCCTGTTTGGCATTTAAATTTGTTGTTTCCATTTTTTTTTTTTTTTTGAAAAAAATAATTCCTCTGTAAAAAAATCGTTTTCTCTAAAATTTTTCCACCTCTAAATTTTATTACTAAAATTTTGAAATTTTTAAAATTCGTTATCTAAAATTTGTTTAAATGTTTTTAAAAATTATTATTATTTTTCATTCTATTCAAAATTTGAAATTTTTACAAAATTTTGTGTGCAACAAAATTTTGAAAAATTCAAAATTCATTCAATCATATTTTTTTTTTGTTTCATACCAATCAATACCTATTAAACAAATTATTATCAAACAAACCAAACCAAAAAAAAAATTTTAAAAATACCGATTTGATTATAAAACACGCCCAACCAACCAACAGGTACATATTTCAATTGCATAATGTTTATGGTAGCTTCATCCGTTGTGTCAACGATTTTAATATTAAATTATCATCATCGAAATGCTGATACACACGAAATGTCCGAATGGGTAAGTTTGTGTTTTTGTTTTTTCTCTCTACTACAAACAACCACAACTACAATCACTTCATCTACAACCAAAAAAAAAAAACTACTGAAACGCCTCCTCTAAAAAAAAACAAAAACTCACTCAAAAACTACAACAACAAAAAAACATGTCATCATATCGTCACACCACTTTCTTTCACTCAAAATGAAAACTTTTTTCCATCGAAGTTTTCATCGTAACATAACTAAACCAAACTCATCAGTCAGTCAGTCATGCATTTAAAAGCAAAAAAAAAAAAATTCCAAAAAAGAAGACATCAATCTCCAAAAAAAAAAAAAAAAAAAAAATAGAAAACTACATCAAAGAATTTCGAGTATTTAACTCTCACCGGAAACACCATAGTGCTTCCGTTTCATTCGCCCACCAAAACAACAAACTATAATTTTTTTCTGGCAATTCTTTCACTCTCTCACACACACAGCCACCCAAAACACACACATTCACACATATGGAAATTTTTTTGTACCAAACCGCAATCTCCAATTCAATTTCCAAAAGAAAACCCTCCGCAATACTAACCATGTTCATGTGTGTGGGTGTGTATCTGTGTCCGGGTGCGTGTGTACGTGACTTTCGTTTAGAAATCCATAAACCAAAATCAAAACCAAAAAAATCGCTTGCAAATAACCAAAAACCGAGTATCCGATACAAACTTAGTTGTTACCAAAAATTCATGTTGTCTGATTAGTGTGTTCTTTTTTTATTTTGTTGTTGTTATTTTATTTAGTTGTATGTTTGTTGTTATCCTCACCCCAAAAAAAAAAAAAAAAAAAAATCAAAAAAAACTATAAAAAAAAATTTTGCAACAACCACCATGTGTTGAATCAAACCAAAAAATTGACAAATATATTTTATAAGTTGTTGTGTTGTATTATTGTTTCCTTTTTGTGTTGTTGTTGTAAATTTCCATTTTATGTTGTAGTGACAAAATATTGTTACATGTGTCCTTAGGATGATATGTAATGCTATAGATATAATGGTTTTATTTTATAATTTGTAGCATATTTTTAGGCGTTTTTTCAATTTTTTTATTTTTACTAAATATAAATTTTCTATTATTCGCCAGCTTCGACATTCGAAAAGGGAAAATCTAAAGTAATTTGTATATGATATAAATTATCTGATAATTTCATTATTTGTAGCATACTTTTAGGTTTCATTTATTTATTTTTTCTTCTTCTTGAAACTTGTACTCTGAAGGCTTTGCGGTTAGCTTTGAAATATGTAAATCAAAACAATCATTTGTAACATATGACATTTCATATTTTCATGGTGTATGATTATGATTTTTTGTAGCATACTTTCAGGCTTCACTCATTGAATCTCCACAAATAGTGATTAAAGCATTAATTAGGCTTACAACGAAGCCAATGTTTAGTTGTTTGCTATATAATATGATTTTTTAAATACATTGCATAATTTTAGGCGCCTTCTAGCTCTCTCCCTCAATCTTCATATATAAAATCTGTTTAAAAGGAGAAGTATTAATAATTTTAAAATGAAGAATTTACTCTTCCCTCAATTGTGTTCCTCTTCTTATTTTGCGTAGCATACTATTAGGATGTACTATTTCTTAATTTTTTGTGTAGCATATTAGTAGGATTTACTACTTAGGATTGTGTATAGCATACCTTCAGGTTTCACTTCACCGAATCTCTTTTTGAATTCATATTAAAAGTATGCAATAAAAACCTTATATATTTTGCATCATACAATTTACATTGCATACTTTTAGGATACATTAAAATTATTTTCGTGAACTCAATATGTAATGGAATTCAAAATGTGATGAATTACTTGGTACATGGCTCTGTGTGCGGAAAAAAATGATATGCCGCGTTAAATGATTTTTTTCTGCCTTAATTTTTACAAAAAGCTTGTTTTATGTAGCATTCTTTTAGGCTCACTTTTTGTATAACCTTAAAATCACACATTGTTGTTGAGGTTATAGGTCAATAAATAATAGGATAGCCAGTGGCATATATATATGACATTATGAGAATTTGTGTAAATATCCAATTTAATTCGAAATTGCAAGTGCGAAGCACATACCAGAACAGGGTTTTCTTATAGCGAAGAGATTTGTCTTACTACATAGTCAATTGACATTCGAATAATCGATTGACTTTTTGTATTTAAAAATTCTAAAAGCCTATTTCATATTCTTGTCATATAATTGTCGAACCTAGTTCCGATCTCGGAATAGTTTCAATGACCTAGTTCCTACATAACCTAAAAATTAAAAAAAAATGAAATAAAAAACAAAGATGTGACGTGTTACACTAAACAGTTGGCCCTAGTTCCGATCGTTCCTTTCTGAAAATAGTTCCATTAACTTGTTGTAACTGTAAAAATGTAGGTACACGTTTGATTTTTTAGACATATTTTGTTGGCAGTCAACATCGGGAAGACTGTTCGACTTCGGAGCCCCTTTTATCGAGAAGTTCACTGTATTCTTTAATTGTTTCCTATTTAGTAAGAAAATATCAAATAAGAAAACTATATGAATTAAACAATTGGACCTCGCAACCTAGAATTGTAAAAAATAAGCATGTGATTTTCTAAACATGTTTAACCACCAGTCACCTACATGAAGACTTTTCAACTTCGGAGAAGTTCACTGTACTCTTTAATTAGAGTCCTATTAGAAAATCTTTGTACTTCTCTCACAAGTAGTAGGAGACCCACATCAATTGAAAGGTCCACATCAATTGAAAGGTCTCGAAACTTACCTTCAGAACGTATACACCTTATGGCGAAGAACAAACTTTGCTAAACGGATTTTCATCGATTTTCATTGCAAGTCTCAGTGACAGTGGGGACTCTGTGTAGAAAACGCCATGTTGTGCAAAAATTAAAATGGATGCAGATGGTCTCGAAATGTACTTTCAGAATATATACACCTTATGGCGAAGAACAAACTTTCTCTGTGTAGAAAACGTCATATTGCACAAAAAACTAATATGAACGCAGTATAGAGACCCACATCAATTGAAAGGTCTCGAACGTACTTTCAGAATATATACACCTTATGGCGAAGAACAAACTTGGTCGGTCTAGGTTACATAAATGCGATATACTGTTGGTCATAAAATTATTGCCCATATGGAACCCTTTACTCTTATATCAATCTTTCGTTCACCCAATGGTTCATTTAATTTATTTTGATCATATTATTCATCCTTCCGGTTAATTTCCGAATTAACCGGTGCGTGCAATAAACAATTGAAATGAATGACCGACCTAGTTCCTTCTGGGGATCAAACTAACTAGTTCAAAGAAAATATTTCATAAAACTAAAAAGCGCTATTGGGCTAAATGAAGGAAACTATTTTACAAATTGAACCATCGGTACTAGGTCTACTCCTTTCGTTCATCTAGTTATTTTTGTTCCAGTAGTTAATTTTTCTTCTCATTTAGTTAGTTCATCTTGATCTAATTGTTTATCGAGATCTTCCCGGTTATTCTACGAATTAACTGTCGTGTGCTAACGAACGACTTAACTAAAAGGAATATGGAATTAAATTTATGATTAAATTCCTTCCGGGGTTCGGATGAAACAGTTCAAAGTAAATGTTGAATAAAAGGAAAGATCGGTACTCGGTTCGCTTCTGTCGTTCATCTATTTACTTTTGCTCCAGTAGTTTTTTTAGTTCCTCTTGGATTAACGAAATGAAATGGCAGGAACGATGGAAATAAATAAACGACATAGTTCCATATTTCGAACGGAACAAAACAGACCGAATTGTTTTAATTTGTGTAATTGAAGAATCATCGAAATATAGGTTTTCTGAGTGGACATTATTTTAGTGATTCAAATATCTTCGGTCTTCTAACTGCCGGTTTTTAGACCCCATGGTTTTAGACCGCATGTTTCTTTGAACCAAATCCGTTTCAGACAGTTTGGAGTCGATCTACAAATGTCCGTCTGACTGGCCGGTTTGAGCGCACGATTACAATATTTCTTCGAAACTTAGTTCAAGCTTTGAAGATGGGGAACATCAGTCCACTCGTTCTTGTACCACCACCCGTAAAATGGTAAAATTGTGCAAAAAAATAATTCTATAATATCATGTGAACGAACTATCTGAGTTGAACCAAACTTTGCACAATATAGTATGTTTACCAAGCCTAGATCATGACCGAACATGGGACAAATTGGCCCACTCCTTCTGGTACCTCCACCAAAAAAGATTCAAAATTTTAGTATTTATAAATGTAATAATAGGCGAATGGAGTGCTTGATTTGAACCAAATTATGCACGACCTGTTATTCTTACCAAGTCTAGATCAGATTTGAAGATGAGACCCATTGGTTCACTCCTTCTGGTACCTCCCCCACAAAGGGTCAAAATATTCAATATTTATAAATCCAATATCAGGCGATTGGAATGTTCGATTTTAACCAAACCTTGCACAACCTATTATCTTCACTAAGCCTACATCAAGTTTGAAAATGGGACCCATTGGTCCACTCTTTCTGGCACATCCCACACAAAGGGACAACATATTCGATATTTTTATATTGAATTTCAGGCGAATGTAATGTCCGATTTGAACCAAACCTTTCACAACTTATTATATTTACCAAACCTAGATCAAGTCCGAAAATGGGACCCATTGGACCAATCCTTCTAATACCGAAGGGTCAAAAGTTTCAAGTTTCAATATTTAGAAATGTAATTTCAGGCGAATGGAATGCCCGATTTGAACCCAATTTTGCACAACCTGTTACCATTACCAAGCCTATATCAAGTCCGAAGATAGGACCCATAGGTAAACTCCTTCCGGTACTTCCCCCACAAATGGTCAAAATTGTCAATATTTATAAATCCAATATTGGGTGAAAATACCTCCTCCTCAAAGGGACAATATTTTTAAAACTTGTAAATTTTATTTAAAGTGAATTGAATAACCGATTTGATCAACATTTAATCCGAAACCTCAGTGATAAAAACATA